AGGTTTTAGGCTGCGAGGTTAGAGTCTTGTCGAGAAATGTCGAGACACTACCGATTGGCGAGCAGCAGCGTATCAAGCGGGTATGATCTCCCGTCGGGGTAGAAAAAACGAAAAACAAAAAAACATGGGCAACATGGAGATAAACTGTAGGAAGGCAGCGGATGCAAATTATCTGCGTAAGCGAGAATATGGCCCCATTCGCGGTTTTACGGTTTGTCGCTGCCTCGAATTTTTACCAATCGGGCCTCGAGTCCACCCAGCTTTTTTCCACTTTTGGCCACGCACCAACGGTTACATTGAGCGCGAAGCCAAGTGGTCCGCAGACGTGCGCAACCTGCCTCTATGGTCAGTCACAGGTACCGAGGGCTAAATTAGGGTATTACGTTCGTGGCGCAAGGATGTGGCGAATGACTTGTGTTGCTATGACGAAGGCTAATCAGCATGACCCATGGGAAAGTCCGGACTCTTTTTTTCTTTTAGAATCCTTGCCCCACACATTCTGACAATTGTGACGTGTGGCGACGCCTGGCCGTGCCATGAAGGATCGATCCTCCACCGCGCCGCCGGCTTAGGCCAGAACTGGGCTATTCGCGCCAGGCCACAAGACTTATTGTGGCCGTGTGCATCCTGCTGCGACACGGGTTAACACAGGGCTGGCCAAGTCGCTCGAGTCTTTTGTTCAAAATTTTTCTTTCTCCCATTCTTCCAGTATACTTTATTTAAGAAGAAAGTTTTGCCGCGAGACCGTTATTCAGGTTCGAACCCTTTTTTAAATTTTAAATTTGTGGCCAGTGCTATTTTTTGTTTGCACCGCCACGCTTTAGACTTTCGCTTCAGTCTCATCTGGGTACCGCTCGCTCTGGACCTTGGTTTTGCGTCGCATTTTGTTCCAATTTTAGCGACCTAGATTTCGGCTCTCCGCATTTTGCGCTCACGCTGCCAACGTCCAAACGGCCTGCTTCAAAACCAGCCGCTTCCCCAGCATACCCTTTTTCTTCCTTCCCACTACATCCACGCGATGCTACCGCCGCCTATGCCCCTAAATGTCGTCGACGTCGACACCTTGTCGGTAAGCGTCCCGGCCATCCTCGATGACTGTTTCAACTACATCCTAGCCCATGGCTTGATCAAGGGCATCTTTCGTGTCAGCGGCCTGGTTCGTCGCATGAAGGCGGTTTCTTCTGACTACTCGAATTACCGCCCGTGGCTAGAGGCCAAGCCACAGGCCCACGACGTCTGTGGCATCATCAAGAAGTACTTGTCCGACTACTTGGCTACCATGAACGGCCTCTTCTCCCAGCATCTGTTAGCCCTCCTCCGCCGCCGCTTCATCTCCCACCGCCGTAGCGGCTCTGACTGCAGCATAGATTCATACAAATCCGCCAACACATCCTTTGGCAGCCTGTCGTTATCGTCTGTGCCCGAGTCTGAGTCATGCTCCTTCTCCAACGTCAGAGACGCAGACGTGCTCCTCGATGCCGTGGCCCACCTCCTCGTGACCAAGAACATCTCCTCAAAGAATAACTTCTTCATTTACCTCCTTTACAAGCTCAAGCAGTTGTCTCAGCACGAAGAGGCCACGAGCATGTCGGTCGAAAACACCTCCATTATCTTCCAGCCCTACATCTTCAGTACCCAGAACGTGGCAGACTTGCGCATCCTCCAGGATTTACTTTCCTTCTTGGTGCTCCACTTCGACCTGCTTCTCCTGAAGTATCAGTGCTACGTCTCCATCTTGGGCGGTCTCGAGGATTTGGAGCTCGACAACATCTCCATCTCATCTTCCGAGGGCAACGCCGTCTCCCCTGCTACAGTCTATTCCGAAAGCAGTTATACCCCACGCCACAACTCCAATGCGTCCGACAACCCCATGTCGAACCCTAAGCGCAAATCGTCGATCTCACGCAAGTTCAACGGTCTTCTAGAAAGTTACCACCTCCCGGCTAACCGCTCCAAGCGCTTTTCCTTCAACTTCAGTTCTAGACACCAGTCTACAGAAAAGGTGACCTCCTCTGAGAACCTACGGCCCTCCACCAATCACGTAGCCTCGCTATACAGTGATGTGGAGCCTACTGATACCGATAAAACCGTCAAGGGCACCAACGGGGACATCCTCACACCGCCAGCGGACGAGACGCTAACCTTCAACACCAAGGTGACTCTGCCAGGTGCTCAGCCCGCCTCAAAAAGGCCGTCTCTCCCGCATAAGAAGTCAAACAACAGCAAAAGAAGAAGTTTGATATACTTGTTCAAGTCCTCCTCTTCAGTCAATGATGTCAAATCTAAGGAAGATTTGAGTGTGCCTTCCCCAGCCCCCTCCCCTACGACGCCCACCAACAACGACTTTTCTATTCTCAAAACAAAACACGCCGTGTCTGCTGACAACTTAGTCCCCAATACGGCCGTGACCCCTTCTCAGGAGCTCAATCTGTTGGGCAGAAACCTATCCTTGCGTGTTCGTGGCCGCAAGTAGTCCCCAACAGACACCTTATACGATTCATGAATGGCTTTTTTTTTTCTAATATTATTTCTGGGTTTACTTTCCATGCCTACTCGCTTTATAATTCTTATTTTGGGTACAAGGTATTTAGATTCAATGGTGTATATATATTACTGTACTATTTTCCACTAATCTGTACTGTAGCAGTACTTCGCGTTAACTAAGATCGCCTGTCTGAGGTGCACCCCATGTCACACATCAATGTCCTTCAAAACGGCCGACTCCTCGGCCTACCGGATGGCATTGTTCTAAGCTGCTGTCCTAAGATGAATCTCCTAGCTATCTCCATGAATAAGACGTCCATCTGGATGTTTAGGTTCAATGGTGAAAGAGTGTACTCAGTTAACAACAAAGCCCAGATCTTGAGCCTTCAATGGAACCTGAGCGGGCGATTCTTTGCTGTATCTGGTACCGATAACTTTGTCAATATCTATGATACCAATACTGGAGAGTTGGTTAACAAATTTGCTACACATACGTCCTTACCGATCACACTCATCAGCTGGGCATCAGTCAAGCTGGAGATCAATGCCGCCTCGGAGAAGGCATTGCCTTATATAAAGCTATTTCAGCAAGACATTTTAAAAGATCTACCAAAACTAAGTCATGAGGTGAACTTCTACGATACAGAGAGAGCTGGAGGTGTCATCTCCCTCCAAAACGCCTCAGCAAAGTCCCAGTCAATGTCCATCTCCGCCACAAATACCAATGAAGATGACTCACTACTAGATTACCTTCTTGTTGTCAATGCCAATGCCATGTTCACAGCCACATTTAATAACCTTTTCACGGTGCCGGATATAGAGTTGCCTGAGGATTGCAAGTTTCTAAGGCACGAGGTGAAAGACGACTTTTTCAACCAGGCTTTCCTTGCAGAGACGTCTTCCGGTGAATTAGTGCTATACAGAATGGAATTCAGCTTATCTGAGCCAAGACAACTCTCATATGTGTTGGAGATACTTAAGTACGCGTCACTCTTGATCTCGATGCTTAACCATATCACTGACCAAGTGAACGAAATGCAGAAGGAGGCCACGGCATTTATTACCCTCTTTGACAGATATCTTTCCAACCTCAAGGATGCCATCAAGGAAGGAAAATCTACAGAAGAGGACACCCCGGACGTAAGTGAAGACGAACTTGTCGAAATACTAATGGAGATTGTCCTCACAGGATATGTTCCGGATTATCTCAATGATTATTGGATGAACCAGTTTGGCGAGCGAGGCCTTAATAGGTTATCCAAGATGGGTAATGATTTGTACGAGGCGACCAGAAAAACCGCATACGCCCAGGTAATTCTTGCCATTGAGAAGATTCTCATCATCTTGAGTGATGTTAGGGGTATCTGTCTTGCCTGCTCGAATCTTTACGGTGATTCTCTCGGCATGAACGTGGAAACACTAGAGAATTCCATCGAGTTAGGCAAATCCATGTTGGTGAGTTTCTACAAGTTCATTCTAGAGTTCAATGAAGAACAGGAACAGTTCAATGTATTCTGCAACTACGTGAAGGTGGAAATCATTGAACGCCTCTCCAAACAAGAGAGTGATATGGAGCTGTTCTTGAAAGTACATCCAGAAATCGAAGTCAGTTCGACCGTCACAATGCATTATATCGATAACTATTTGACACGGCCCAAAATCGCCGCTTATCTCAATGTTCTGACATTGACAAATGATGTCATTTTCCAGTCAACTCTAGAGGAAGGGTCTCTCATAGAAAAACTCAACGACTTTAAGATTGAAATCAATCAAAAATTACTTCCTGGAATACAGGAGTATATTGCTGAAAAGTCTGTCTTCAAGCTGATAGGCACGATAAAAGCACTGAAAGCTCATGTTGATTGCCACATGGTCTTTAGCAACGACAAGATTTTAATCGCACGGAAATCCGAGTCCCAACTTGACATCTTTACGTTCGACAAAGTGGGGAATAAGAAGTCCCATGAGATTGAATTCCCTGGCGCAATTCTTTCGTACGAACTAATGAGTGATTCGCGTATCGTTCTTCTTTTGGAGAGATCCAATGAATTGAGAGAGCTCATACTTTTTGAGTTACCAAAAGGTGGCTCCAATATTGCATTCAATGACTTAGTGTTAAAGCAAGTCTTACCTTTCGACACCCAATCTGCATTCATACCCACGTGTATGACATTGACCAAAGACCCCTCATCAAGCTCACTGACAGGGTGTGTTTTCGACAAAACAAGACGTAATTATGTCATTTTCAAAATTGATTAATTAGTCATAAAAGCGAGCCTCGCTGATCTGATATACTCCGTCAGCTGTCTCATAAAACTGCTTCGTAACATAATCTCTGTAGTAATATCTAATATTGCGGTCATTCGCAACAAGCTGCTTCTGATTGAGAAACTTCTTCTCGAAGGGAGATCTTGAGTTTATATTTGCATGTTGGCGAGATGAATATCGGAAGTAGTTTTGATTAATCGTCGTCTCCGGAGTTTCTAACCTTCCTGATGCAGTTGCACATAAGTGGATCAAATCTTCACGTTGCATGGGTCGAACTTGTTGTAATAGTTGCTTCATGTAAGCTACTTTAGTCCTGTAATCCCGTTCTCTAGCAGCAACACTTTTTGGTAAGCCGAATCGCGTGGGTTCGAGAACAATTTCAAATGACTTAGCCTTGTGATCAAGCAAAACATCAGGATGTCGGCAAACGAATTTATAAAAGCCTTGCATTTGCTTCACCAAATTGACAATGCTTTGATTGTGGTGAACTTTTTGTATTGGTTTAATTGGGATATCATCCGGAGAGAGACTTAGATTCATCTCCTTCATGACCAGGAATTCTTGACTCTCGGGGGTGCTTTTGAGAAGCTCCCTGTCATATAAATTCTTGTGTTTGTCTTTACCGAATTGGTGTAGAAGGTGGACAACAGGCCACACTGGTTTGAAGGCGCTGTATTTGGTCTGAAGAAACTGGGAGATCCAAGGCTTCTGCGGTAGCGGATCTTTGTAGATTAGATCCAAAAGCTGAGATAGTAGGTAAAAGTCACCATTTAATACGGAGTCTGCCAACTGAGACACCTTTCTGTACCTCTTGGGGTCTTCAATGGGACTATTTGGAACAACTCTTCCAGCCCTAAACGCATCTCTTGCGATACACTTTGCAGTTCGTAGACTTCGCAAATCAATGGGAAGACAATTGATCTTCTTATAAAGGGCTTTATAGTAAGCTAGAGCTGTAGTCATGATGTGCTCATACACTTGCAAAGCACATTATGCTCTAGATAATCAATGATGAGATGTTGCAGCGCGGTTGCGAAGTAGGCGGTATCATTGTTACTGGAAGACGTTCACGAAAGGATCACAGTATTCGTAATAAAAGTTATCAGAGAAAAGAGAATAAATTAAAAGCTTAGGAAATAAGCGCTATCAAACAGAGTCAGAAGTAGAGTAACTGGAATTTCTTCAAGTCGTGGAAGGACCCGTGCACCTTGGCAGATATACATAGTAGCGACAGACGTTACTGAATCGACAACCATGGCGTTAGCGGAGTCCTTCCTTCGGAGAGTCCACAAGCTGGGTATCATCCCTAAAGTGGTAAAGGTTCTTCCGATAATCTCCTTCTGCTTTGCAATTGCAAGTGTGGCATGGCTTTTGGTGCTTCCTCAAGATGGGCAGTTCAGAAACACGTATATCTCAGAAAATGCATTGATGCCTGGACAGGTTACATCCTACTTCCGTGAAAGCGAATGGAATATTGTTCGTGGATACAGAACGGAAACGAAGAAATGGAATTACGAAGAGTCGGCAAAGAGCAATCCGATGCTCGAGTCGTGGCTCACAGACCTTGGTCTAAAGGTAGCTTCCTTTGAAGATGAAAAGACCAACAGCTCCACCTTATATGCTGTGATGCACGCCCCTCGTGGTGATAACACCGAAGCTGTTGTACTTGTCACTCCTTACATCACGTCAACGAACGAGGACAACATTGGTGGTTTCGCTATTGCACCAGCGTTGGCGCGTTACTTCGGCAGAATGTCCATATGGTCGAAGAATGTCATTTTTGTCTTTCCCAAAGATGGCCATGCATCCTTGAGATCCTGGGTCGAGGCATACCACACATCCTTGGATCTTACTGCTGGATCCGTGGAAGCTGCCATTGTGTTGGAATATCCCAAGGATAGTGACAATTTCGACCACATGCAACTCTTTTACGAGGGCCTCAATGGCCAGCTTCCCAACTTGGATTTGATAAACACAATCACCACAATTGCCCGTAATGAGAACATGCATGTTGGTATCCAAGGTACTCCGGGAGAAGAGCTCACAAGAAGAGATTACTGGTCAAGATTGAGAACCCTCATTAGGGGAATACTCAACTTAGCCATCTCTGGATTACACAAGTCATCACTTGGTTGTGAAGCGTTTTCTGGATGGCAGATTCAAGCAGTGACGATTCGTGCGGTGGGTACTGGTGGTCCTGACATTACGCAATTTGGAAGAATTGCAGACTCGACTTTCCGTGCTGTGAACAACTTGCTCGAGAAATTTCACCAATCATTCTTCTTCTATCTCCTTTTATCACCTACCCATTTTGTCTCGATCGGCACATACTTGCCCTCTTCAGTGCTCCTAGCAGTGTCCTTTGCATTGAGTGCACTCTGCTGCCTTGCCAATGGTGTCACAGGCTCTCAATATCTCATAGGGATGGGCTCTCTACTCATGACTTTCACAACAATCGAACTCGTTTGTTTGATCCTCGCATTTACACTTCCTTACTTGGTGGAGACCTCCTCAGACGCATATGGCCAATCGCAATGGATCATCCTTGCAGCGATCGTATCAACAGCCTTCTTGTCGCTCAAGCTGATCAGTAGACGAGTCGTTCCACTCAGGCTTAGTAAAGTGGCTACCTATTCGTTGCTTGCCTTCAGTCTTTACTTCATTGCGATGTTAATCACCACTTTACTCATAGTGCACTTCGCATTGGCCTTCACGATAGGCCTTTGTTCGTTACCATTAACGTTTATTCAGCCGCAAGTGACGGCGCAGATAAGAGATAAGTCAAGTGTGATCAAAACACAAGTGAGGATCATTGCGTGCTTGGTGGCGTCTTCTCCGGTCACTGCCATTGTTCTCCTCGGATATTTCTACAACGGGGAGAAAGAAGCAGGAGTCGTTGGGTTAACCCAAAGATTGTTGACGCTGTGGAAAGAATTACAGTGCTGGACGTGGTTTGTTGTGGCGCTTGGATGGCTCCCCGCTTGGATCTCCATTGCAATTGCATATACTTTTGGCACCTTCGAAGATGAGATAAAGTCAAAAGAAAATTTAAAAACTGAATAGATATATATTTAACAGATGGCAATTAATTAGGCTGTTTACTGTTTGTAGTGTGCAACAAACTTCTCGTGGAATGCAGCCCAGCTACTAATCCACTCGGTTCCTGGAGGTAAGAAGGTAGTTCTCAAGTGAGCAGTACCTGGAGCTTGGCCAAAACCGTTGCCAGGAACACAGCAAATACCAGTGTGCTCCAACAAATCAGTGCAGTAAAGTTCATCAATCGTCAAGTTCATCTCGTCGGCCTTCTTGTACAAGGCTGGGTAAGCCTCCCTTGAGAAATCCAAACGAGGGAAAAGATACATAGCACCTTGAGGCTTCTGGCAACTCACGTCAGCCATCTTGGTAAATGCTTCATACAACAGCAGGGCTCTCTTTTCAAGATCCTTGTGGATGGTCAGCGTCTCGTGGTGGTACAATTGGTAAGATGCATCACCCTCCTTTGGAGGGTTGATCATGAGCTCCACAAGGGCCTGGCCAGAGACAACGGAGCAAAGATTAATGGAAGCCAACTTAAAGATGATATCACGAACCTCGCGAGTGAAACCCACCAACTCCATGTAACCACCACGCTGACCACACTCACCACTGACACCTTTAGAGGTGGAATGCAAAGAAGCAAGCTGGACGTTCTTGTAAAGCTCGTGATCTTGCTCAAGCAACTTGGCCAAGACTCTCTTGACAGAAATAAACTCACCGTGGAAGACGTTCTCCTGGTACACCTCGTCAGCGATAAGCACAATACCATGTTCGGCAGCAATATTGACAAGCTCAACAATGTCCTGTTCCTTCAAGATAGCACCGGTTGGGTTACCAGGGTTGATAATGACAAGAGCCTTGATGGCAATGCCCTTCTCCTTGTTCTCAGCAATCAAGTCACGAATAGCTTCAGGGTCGGTGGACCACTGCTTCTCCTCGTTGAGGAAATAACCAATTGGCACAGCGTTGTTCAATGCAATTGAGGCAGTATACAATGGGTATTGGGGGATTGGGATCAAGAAGCCTGACTTTTCGCTGCAAGACAAGACCTGGATCAAGTAGGATACAGCGGCAGAGGCACCACCAGTCAAGAAAATGTCACTGGGATCAGATGGGTATCCGTCTCTTTTGTGGATGAAGTTGGCCACAGACTTACGGATGCCAGCGTCACCTTGGGAGTGGGAGTAAGCACCAACAGAACCGGTGGATTTGAGAAGCTTGCGGGCACGCTCAACGGTATCACTTGGATACAAATGCTCACGAACAGATGGGTCCAACTTCTCGATTTTGCTGATGAGCGGAGGGTACTGGATCAATGACAAAACTTGTCTGTACCATGACAAAGGCTTCTGGTCCAACTGCTGTGGGTTTCCAATGTTAGCGCTGATGATACGGTCGTAAGGCAAACCGTGAGATGGGTTGTTGTCGATTTCAGATCTCAATTCGTCAGCACGGATGGGGATCTTACCACGCACGGCATACTTGGCCTCGAGGGTGGACTCGTTCAAGTCCTTGATGGTGAAAGGAGGAGCCGGCAGGAAGGAGCTTTGAAAGCGACGGGAAATAAGCAGGGGAGCCATTCTGGAATGACGAGATAAACGGAGCACCATGGTGGAAATGATGGTGTATTTAAATGAATGCGGAAATGGCTTTCGTACAAAAGCGGCTAAATGATCGGAATGGAAGAACGGAAGTCTGTGCTGGGCATTTTTCGAGGTGTAGCAGCGGCAGTGACTCCAGTTTTTCGCGGTAATGCAGGACAACTGGGGAAACACTGCCATACGGCGGTGCCGATATGCCTCTAGCGTTTAGTACTGGAAGCTTTGTTGGGGTTTTTGCCATTATTCAATAGGATCGACCGGCCTCACCGTTGTAAAGCTTGTTTGGCTTCATCGGCGTCATGTGGGGTGTGGGGCACGGAAGTGCAACTCCGGGGCGATCGGCGAGCCGTTCCTCACTCCGGGGTTTGACTTCCTCGAGAAAATTCTATAAAGTCATTGTGTTTGGACCTAGCAATTATGAGCTAACGTTAATTTGGGATTTTCTCTGATAAGCGACAGTAAGAGGGGTTAACGTGACGTTGCTTCACGCATGGAAGTTCTTATCGATGATTGCTGACCATAAGTGCCCATGCATTTGCTTATCCGTGATTTATTTTCTTGCAAGTTTACCCTATTTCTTGTTCTAAGTACCCTGGAAAAACCACTCATCTGATGACAAGGAATGTTGTGATTAAGGCGTGGTCTGGCCATAATGTGGGGAGACGTGTCTGAATTCGGTGCTTTTCTCGAACACCCCGCGAGCCTGTCAATGGCTAGCCAGACTGGTTGCGAAAAGCATAAAACATTACGGAAACCACATGAGCTACATCATCAGAAGAATAGTATTTGATGTGTGATCGAGGCCGCATTCTTGTCTAAATTCAATGCAGCGTAGATTTTGTGAAATATTCTGGAAATCGAGTGGTGCCCCTTAATGTGGGTCTCCTCTTCTCCATTGTGCATAAGCAACCCCAGATATGATAACGTGATCAGCGTTCTCCAACAGTTCCTTATGCATTTAGTTTTTTTCACCCTGGCCAGATCTTGAGTTATTTCTCTATTTATCAGGGGACTTTCGCTACCCGCTGTTCTGCCATTTGCTTACAGTTAGCATCATGTCCGAAAGACGCTTCTCGTTAGCTATCGAAGACTACGACTCATCGGAGTCGCCTGAAAGCCCTACCAACAAACCACTATCTGGTTTTTTGGTCGACAACCTGCGGCCTGCTTTGACAAAATCCATGTCCTTCACATCTCCGTCAAAAGTGCAAGAGCTGACACCCCAGAGAAGGTTCTCCATTTGTGACCTCAACACATTCGGTGAAGACAGCTCTCAAAGGTCTCCGGAACAATGTTCTCCAAGATCTTGCAATTTCAAAAACCACC